AATTTCTCGGCCAATTCGGCCAACATTACCGGAAATGTACCAGATTTTTTCGACGTCGATTCGTTTTCAAGTCTGGTTAACTTGCACTTGGCTTTCAATGGCCTCCAAGGCGAATTGCCCGAGAGCTTTGCCCGGTCGCAAATTCAGTCTCTTTGGCTTAATGGGCAAGAGAGTGTAGGTCAGCTGGGTGGAAGCATTGGGGTTATACAGAACATGACTCTGTTGAAAGAAGTTTGGTTGCATTCTAATGCATTTTCAGGTCCATTACCAGACTTTTCGGGTTTGAAAGATTTGCGGAGCTTGAGTTTGAGAGATAATATGTTTACTGGTCCTGTTCCAGTTTCATTGTTGAATCTTAAATCACTAGAGGCGGTGAATTTGACAAACAATTTGCTCCAAGGGCCAATGCCAGCTTTTGGGGTGGGGGTTGCAGTAGATATGGTTAATGGTTCTAATAACTTTTGCTTGCCAATTCCTGGTCAATGTGATCCTCGAGTGAATACTTTGCTTTTGATTGTGAGTTCACTGGGTTACCCACAAAGGTTTGCAGAGAATTGGAAGGGGAATGATCCTTGTGCAGATTGGATTGGGGTCACCTGTAGTAATGGGAACATTACCGTCCTCAATTTTCAGAAGATGGGTCTTACTGGAATGATTTCGCCTGAAATTGCATCACTGAAGTCCCTGCAAAGGGTAATTCTTGCTGATAACAATTTAACTGGAACTATTCCTCAGGAGCTTGCCACGCTGCCTGCACTTACTATTTTAGATGTGTCAAATAATAAGCTCTATGGGAAAGTTCCAGACTTTAAGGTTAATGTGGTTGTAAACAAGAATGGTAACCCTGATATAGGGAAGGACAAGAGTACTTCATCGGGAGCTGCACCTTCTCAAAATTCAACTAACCCTTCTCCAAGTATAGGTTCCGGAAATAATGGCAGTTCTGGATCTCACAGAAAGAAATCTTCAACTCTAATAGGAGTTATTGTGTTCTCCGTGATCGGGGGTGTTTTTGTGATTTTCTTAATTGCACTGTTGCTTATCTGTATATATAGAACAAAACAAAAGCAGTTAAGCAGAGTTCAGAGCCCGAATGCAATGGTAATTCATCCCCGCCATTCCGGGTCTGATAATGAAAGCATGAAGATCACAGTTGCTGGCTCCAGTGTTAGTGTTGGTGCAATAAGTGAAACTCATACTCTTCCTAGTAGTGAGCCCAGTGAAATCCAAATGGTTGAAGCAGGAAACATGGTGATTTCTATTCAAGTGCTCCGGAATGTGACCAACAATTTCAGTCAAGAAAATATATTGGGACAAGGAGGTTTTGGAACAGTGTATAAAGGGGAACTGCATGATGGAACAAAGATTGCAGTTAAGAGAATGGAGTCTGGGGTAATAGCTGGGAAGGGGCTTACTGAATTTAAGTCTGAAATTTCGGTTTTGACAAAGGTTCGTCACAGGCATCTAGTTGCTCTTCTGGGATATTGTTTGGATGGCAATGAAAGGCTTCTTGTATATGAATATATGCCTCAAGGGACGCTCAGTAGGTACCTCTTCAACTGGCCGGAAGAAGGACTGAAGCCACTTGAATGGACAAAAAGGCTGACCATTGCCTTAGATGTAGCAAGGGGAGTTGAGTATCTCCATGGTTTGGCACATCAGAGCTTTATACATAGGGACTTAAAGCCTTCAAATATTCTTCTCGGAGATGATATGAGGGCAAAGGTTGCAGATTTTGGTCTCGTACGGCTTGCTCCAGAGGGTAAATTTTCAATTGAAACAAGAATTGCAGGGACCTTTGGATACTTGGCACCAGAATATGCAGGTAAGTTTTGTTTCTGTTTACTTTTTAATTAATTTTTTAATTTTATGTACTTAAAGAAACTGATAGAAGATAAAACGCGAGAGCGATACCAGATCAATTTGAGTACCTGATACTTAAAAGTTCATGGAAAATATTTGCATAACATGGCACCACCAGAATTTAACCTTAGGTCTTTGCGTCCATTTCCTAAGATTGTGTTAATACTCAAGCAAATCTAAGTGGGGGAGGCAGAAAAAAAAAAAAAAAAAAAAAAAAAAAAAAAAAAAAAAATCTTTTTTTCAACTTGTGTTACCCATCACACTCATAGATGTAAGATGGTAATGAGTCTGTTTCCCGCCATGTTATGATATATGGAGCCATCATTGGGATAAGAAAGCAAACTAGAAACGTGAAGTAATGATTTCCTTAGGGGGTTTGTTGGTTAGGTACAGGGACAATAAAGTGACCATACGATAGATTAGTATAATCCACGCTTCACCAAATTGCATGCTCAGTAATAATCCAAATTGCATCATTCTATTCTCTGCCAGCTGTGGTTTTGGCCTTTTGGGGGGCATCAGTGCTAGCCAGGTTTTCTGAGCTCACTTGAAAACCTGAAGATTAAGCTATTTTTGTTTACTCTTTATAATAACACAACGGTAGGATATTTGGCTTCTATTGGATTGTTTTCATTGAAAGCTTCCCTTGTAGTAGTTGTTGCCAGTTGGTTTTGGCCTCATGAACAATAGATTCTCTTAACCCCCTTTAGCACTTTTGTCCTTCTGTTTTTCTCTTTTTTGAGTCAGCTGAGCCCCACTTTAGTAGATTGACAACAAAGCTAATTATTGTCTTTTTTGCACTTTTTCTTGTGGTCCTGCAATTTATAATGTTGTATAATTCATTTTATTTTTCTGAAAAAGTTAAATTCTATTTATCTTTTGGTTAATGCTTGCTAACTAGTATTGATTTTAATCTTTAACGAAACATTTGTAACACATGCAGTTACGGGCCGTGTGACAACTAAAGTAGATGTGTTCAGTTTTGGGGTGATTTTGATGGAGCTAATCACCGGGCGAAAAGCACTTGACGAGAGCCAGCCAGAGGAGAGCATGCACCTTGTAACATGGTTCCGGAGAATGTTCATCAACAAGGACACGTTCCGCAAGGCCATTGATCCAACAATTGATCTCAGTGAGGAAACACTTGCCAGTGTCAGCACTGTTGCTGAGTTAGCAGGCCACTGCTGTGCAAGAGAACCGTATCAAAGGCCTGACATGGGCCATACTGTCAATGTTCTATCTTCTCTAGTGGAGCTTTGGAAACCAAGTGATCAGAGTTCTGAAGACATATATGGTATAGACCTCGAAATGTCATTGCCACAAGCACTTAAGAAGTGGCAGGCTTATGAAGGCAGAAGCAATATGGAATCCTCTTCTTCATCGCTTCTTCCCAGCTTGGATAATACTCAGACTAGCATCCCTACACGACCGTATGGATTCGCCGAGTCTTTCACATCTGCGGATGGGAGATAAGATTTAGATGTAAATTATTGTAATCGTGGCTTGGTATGTTTATTCTTGTTGCGTCTTAACTTGCGGTTTCTGTGTACAATTTGTTCAAACTTTCATGTTTTAGCCTTACCCCCACTCTGATGTTCTGGAATGTTATGACTTGTTTTAGAGGTTTTGAATGAAATGGGAAGTGATTCTCGACTCTGAAGAAATAATATTTCATTTTAATAGAAACTCTCATATTCAACCAAGTCATATGCTTTCATTAAGTAAACTGAGTAACTAAGACCAAAAATAAAAAACCTGGTTAATGCTAATGATCTGATCATCTGAGATAGCAGCACCCTAATTATGGTGGCAATTTAGGAAAAAAAAAAATCTACTTCAGAGCCAATGATAGGCTAAGCTTTATAAAAATAATAATAAAATAAAAGTTTGTTTCTTTATAGAGGGGTGACAATTTCCGATACGACTATACAACTCGAAATCCACACGGAAAAAACATGACTCGCAAATTCGGCAAAAATTACGGATGACTTAGCTAAACGGCTCCCACAAACCTCAAGCGCCCCGTGTTCATCTATAAAAGGAAACAAAAAACACAAAACTCACAAAGAAAAAAAAAAAAAAAAACAAAAAAACCTAAACTCCAATTTTCTTCCTTCCCATTTCTCTCGATCTTAACTTGTCTCCTCAAACTCAAAAATAAAATGGCATCTTTATTCCCATTTTCTCTCGATCTAACCCGTCTCCTCAAACTCAGAAATAAAATGGTATCTTCATTCCCATTTTCTCTCTATCTAAACCTAGCTCTGCCAACACATACATGGGGGCAAAGGGCTGCACAAGTATTAATGCCCTACTTTGCTTCCTCACGAGGACCAGTTACAGTAAATGACTCATTATTCTTTGATAACAATGTTGCTATTGGAGTTGCGAGGAGTTTGGTGACTCCCAAGGATGTGCATGTGTTGGGAACAAGGGATGATAACCAGGTGGTGCGTGATGAAGATTGTCAATTCCCATGAGGGCAAAGACGTTGGAGGAGAAGTGACACCAGCTTGAAATATTGCAAGAATAGATTGTAAAGCTATCAAAGATAGTAGATTTTTACTCTCTAAGGACATGCAAGAGCAGCTGGAGGCCTTGGATTGACTGGGTAAACGTGCACGAGGAGATCCAATTTTTGCTAAAGTTAAGAAAGTGATCTTTGGAAGCTCAAGTGATGAGCCCTAAGAAGCAGTGCGTGAAAACTCAAGAGAGGAGATCCAGATGGCCAAACTAAAGTCTCCTATTGTGGAATTAGGAAGCACGCCTTGATGTTATTGTTGTAAATAAAAAAAAAAAAAAAAAATGTAATGTCCCTTGTTTCCTTCCTTTTTTTTTTCAAATGTGAAATAAATATATTTTTTCTAATTTTTCTTTTGTTTTCTTTTAATTTTAACGACACAAATTAATGTGCTAATCATAGGAAGGAGTAAACAGGTTATTAACCAGGTAACCAGTTTAATAACCTATTTAAGATGACTCAAACCCGACACAACACGTTTATTAAATGGGTCAGGTTCAGGTTGAGCATTCTTGACACATTTATTATCCTGACACGACATAAACCCGACACGACACGACTCATTGCCTATATAGGTATCCCTGCTTATTTCTTGAGCTTGAGATTCCAAAGTCTCATGCCATCCAAATTAGGACTTGTGCTCCCTCTAGAATTAGCCAAAAAGGACCAGAAGACCTTTTGCAGCTTCAGCTTTGATCTCTTCATCTTTGACTGTCACAGAATCATCATTCAGTCCAATAGAAGTAATTTTGCACCTACTCATCTTGTAAATGGATTTGAGGAAGTATGAAGAAACATTATCCATAGCCTTATTGCCGTTGTATCCTAGATTTCTGTCTTATTAGATACTCTTTTTCTTCATCACCAGCATAGTAAATTATCTGTATGATGTTTTAGGAGCTCCTTCCTATGCATCCTAAAGGAGCAATCAAGAGGAAGTATTCTGCAGACAACGCATGCCTAATCTCTGAGGCAGATAATGTGACTTCACTAACCATTGAGGAGAGATTCTTAATTCCATCTTAGTTAACTCCAGATTGAAGAGAGCCTTGAACCTGGGGATTCCATATAGTAGAAATCACTGGGGAGATATCCTCCCCCATAGCTGTAATAGATCGTCTGCCATACGAACTCTGTCCTGCTGATCTAACGTTCAGACAGTGTTTGTATGTCATCTGTGTTCGTATGGCAGAATTTCCCAAGTTTAAATGGACAACTTCTCGCCTTCAGAAGCAATCTATAGTCATTTGGGATTTACTGCTCTAATGAAGAGCAAATGCACTTTTGTGACTTTTGGGTGTCAAGAATAACATTGTCAAAAGAAAAAAAGAACGGGAAAAGGAAAATGGCAACCTTTCGGCATACATTGAATGAATGAATGTTTGTTCCAGGTTCCGACATGGTAATTGAATTAATTGTATGGTATTCTCTTACATATCTTTCTATTTTGTACAAAAAATAATTTCTAACCCAATCTACAGAACAAAAAATTTCACCTAACCCAAAAATGGCCTCTTTAGGTACTTGAAATCCATGGATGAATTAACACAGTCCACTTTACTTGTGTGAAGATTGAACAATTTCAACAAGTCAGTAACCTTCTCCTTTATCCCATCACCACAACCAACCTGCAAGAGAACCAAGAGCTTCTGAAATGCACCCACTTGAAGTGCCTCAATCAAAATGCTTTCCTCAGTTTCAATTCTGCAGAGCTTCCAAATTATAGCGATCGAAAACTCAGTCACCAACGCCGAAATCCTCAAAATCTTCTTAACCAAAAGGGGCATTGTCAGAGGATTCTCAAGGGCCTTGTCTTTCCCTTGTTTGCAATCACAAAGACCCTCCAAAACTCCCAAAGCCCTCTCACACAGGCGTCTCTCTGCGTCAACAATAATCTCTAGTAGCAAAGAAACCAAACCCAACTCCACAAATCTTGATCTGATTTCATCACTGGCTGCTGATGGAGATGAAATCATGAACAAAACAGAAGTCAGAGCAGCCTTAGTAGCTGCAGGAGAAATAGGCTCTCTAATTATCCCAACCAATGCTTCAATTGCTCCTTCACTCTCAACAAAGTCATCCACATGTTTTTGATCCAAAGAAAGCAACTTTCTCAGTACCAAAACTGCGTTTTGCCTTGCTGATAGATCTTTGCCCTCCAAAAACGACAAGAAACATCTTAAAGATCCTGCAGATCCAAGCTTTAATTGGCCTTCTTCACTCACTGGAAACATCCATGGCAGCACTGACAAAATGTCCAACAATATCTCCACATGATCCTCCATTGAAATGCTGGCAAAAGAATCGAACACAGCTGACAAGCAGCAGCCAATTCCATTCTCCACCATACACTTCTTGTTCCTCTCGCTCTCTTTGGCCCATGCTTTGATCTTCCCCACCAATTCTCCACACTTTCTACCGTCCCCTCGTCGTGCCGCAGCGGCAATTCTCTCACAAATCCTCGAAACCTCGTACTTTGTCAAGGGGATTCGAGGCGTTGGGATCCGTTCGATCCCATAAGACCGGTTTTCGACGCACCAATCTTGGATCATTCGACGTAGTGCATGGTTTGGTATTGGTCAAAACTCTTGAGTTCCTGGTTAGTTGCCGGGCATGTCCTGTTCCCGGTCTCTATCCACTTCTCAATGCTTGATCGGTCGTACGTCATCCCCGTCGACAGCGTCACCGGATCCTTCATCAAATCGAGAGATATCGGGCATCGAAAATGCGTGGGAACAGCGATCTCCTCCATCTCCATGTCCAAATTCTCGCCAGCAAAAAACTCCTTCTTCTTGTTGGCGTGGCGGGTAGACTTTCTTCTTCTCCAAGACAAAATCATCATTTTCGTTGCGTAATTTAATTTAAAAGTAGAAAGAAACAGAGGACAAGTTGATCAGAGCAAAAGCTGAGAGAGAATGTATGTTTTTTTGGTTCTGTGAGAATTGTAGGAATCTCAATGAGTTTATATAGTCTCTTGGGTTTTTGATACGCGGGGTCAAAACCGAAGTAACAAGTCTGAAATGTTGTAGCGGTTTTGAATGTTGACCGTTGAAAGTTTCAAAAGTTGAAAGACGCAGGCAGGCAGGGTGGTTATTCTATACCCTTGAATTCAAGTCGGCAGATGATTGACCAGCTGTTTTAGGCTGTGTCCGTGCGCGCCGTGTTTGGGTCAAATGTCAACTACTCGGTGCATGGACTGGGAACTCGGTCTTTCTTGTTTTTGGCATTAGCAGGCCCAATGTCCAAATTATCAAACAACCATACAACATTATAGCCCAAATACCTAAATGGGGATTCTGTTCAGACCCAATGTTCTTGCACCGCATACTTATGAGTTTTGCCAGTGACGGACCCATAAAATTTTCACACACTAAGAAAATTTATATGGTAATTTATCACCACAAAATCTAGAGTCCAAGTATGACAATAGGAGATTTGAAAGGGGTAGCAATGATAGTGAGGAAGGAAAAGAAGACAAATATAAAGAAAGAAAGAAAGAGGCATTGAAATTTGATTTGAAAAAAAAATTATGATGGCATTAAGAAGACAATTGCCTCGAAGAAAATTTCAGAGGGGCGCGTGCCCACCCTAGGCATTAGCTCCTTTCGTAACTGAGTTGTGTGGCTTACTGCATGTGCTGCAAACCTATAAATTTTCAGACCCATAAACCGAAACAAATGAGGAAGGGAAAGAACACACAAAAGTCTCACATTTTCCTCCTTATAGTTATCAAAGGTGACGATTTGTTCATCCATTGAACCCTTTCCACATAATATAGGTAGATCCATCATGTCAAGTAAGAATAGGGAGTTTGAGAAATGTGACACATATTTTTACCAAGGGCCTTTTTGATTTATAATCTCATTGTAATTTTTTTATATTTGTGATGTAACACTTGGTAATACTACATACAAGTGATTCAATACCACACAACAATTTATGCTAATTTTTTTTTAATCGAATTCGCATTCGATGTGAGTAGGAAAATATTAGTGTATTATTCCTCCTCAATTTTTTTTTTTATATAAAAGTATGAGTGTATTTTTATCTTCATAGACAATCTTATCTTCTTAAACTATGGGGGGAAAAAAGAAGAAAAAGGAAACTTTATCTTCATAGACTTTGGCTCCCATATGAACTTTTTTGGTTAACAGATTCCTATGCTGCGGACGATAAATTTGAAAGAAAGCCAGCCGATACCTAGTCAACAAAATGGGAGTGAAAAAAAAGAAAGATTTCTTTTTCTTTTGACTTTTATTTATGAAGTAATTAGGAAATTGATAAATCATGAGAGTATGCTTATTAGTTCAGGCATATACACTTTATATCGGATCTTAAATTATCTGAACATATGCCAAATCCCAAGTTTGTATTAGTAAAATTAAAGCACCGAAGCATGAGAATAAAGAAAAGAGTCACTAACCTAATGGAAGAATTAATGTACAATTAAGTAGTGAATTAGAGGATATAATTATCATCAGAAAAGTCGTATATATATGGTGTATATATTCACCAGAACTCTAGTGCTGGTTGATGCTTGGTGGTGGGGGACCATTTAAAGCAAGCGTTTTGAGTTTGGGACAAGATGGATTGAAAAATACTTTAGTTTCTTTTAGGAGTCATTCATACTTACTACAAATAAATCACAGATTGTTATGTGTGCAGAAAGTTTTATTAATTTGTGTGTTTTGATGAGTTATTCATGTATACGCAACGTGAATGATATTGTGGTTTGTAGATAACGAAGAACACCTCCTTATAGGTAAATAGGTAACGTAGAGCACCTTCTTATAAGTATAGACATAAGGAGCTCAAGGCATTTATATGAGAAGAAAATCTTGAATAAGATGGTCAGACCACATCATCAGTGTGACCGTCACAAGCAAGCAAGACCCTCTACATTGGGGTCCCACCTTGTCCCACACACTTGTCTCACTCCCAATTGCAGGGGGTCTCTTGTTTATGAAAGCAGTCGTATTGATGGCGTGATCCGACCGCTCTAAAGACATTTTCCTTCAAGAGGCTCTCACACACCTTTCAGCAACTAAATCTGCTGAGATTAAAACATATTGTTATGGTCATCAAATTTCCAAAACAAAAGTTTATTCACCACACTATATTAGTGCTAAAAACATATATTGAATCAATCTTAATGTTGGTTTATAGTAGTGTTTGAAGACTTGGAACTTGGAAGTGGGGAAATGGAAATGAAGGGGGGGAATTGGCTCTTTCCAATGTTCCTTTCCTTGGGAAAAGGTACTAGTAATATTCAATTCATTGTCTAATCTCTATTATTATGCAAACAACAAAGCTCCATTAACACTGCACAAATGAGGTCACGTTTCTTTGAAGATAAAATATTTGAATATATATGGAAAGAAAAAACGAATCCTCTTTAAACATGTGTTTAGTGCCCGTAGGCTTGTAGTACCTAGTTATAGGCATGTCTCTACTGGCCAGGCTAGTTGAGCACAACAACATATATTAACTTAAACGAACCTCATTACTAGGAAATTAAACAGCTTTAATTTGCACTTCCCACAGCGCCCCTTGTTATTATCGACACAAGTTTTTTATATATTTATTTATTCTTCTTTTCTTATTGAAAATTATTGTTGTTTTTTCACAAGTCAAATGGTAGGCCTTACAGGAATTAAAGCCTTGTAATTTACTTAAAATTTGCAAGCAACTCTGATTCGTTAATTGTGTCAAATAGACGGGAAAAAAATGACGCGTTGCAAGGGGCTTGTAGCTTGAGTGAAGTAACACCAAAAGAGCACCTTTCTTATCTTACCACAATTTGCCAACGTCATTTTCTTCCTTTTTTTTGGTTGAGAATTGTTTAAGGGATGTAGCTTTCTGGTTTGCCTGGAATTTGATTAAGATTTTGGTCAAACATATTGCTAAGTGCTGCATTCGAGTGTGACACAAGGCCAAAAGAAGGAGATGTTTATATTATGAATTAAAGAATAACAAAGGAGTTATCTGATGCACAATAGATTAATATGGAAAATGCTAAATTTAAGAGAGACGGATCAGTGACTCATTACTAGCAACATCAATATTGTTCCCAACTTAACCACTTATATTTTATTTTGTCAAGTTTTCAATGTGGAATTTTATATTCTTCAATAGATAATTCATTAGGACAAAAAATATAATAATTGAAATTTTAGAGGAAGGATGGAGTTGTTGGAAACATTATAACTTACATTTTGGTATATATGGCTTTATATGATGATTATATGCATGCCCATCTCCTAATTGGCATATAATATGGAAGCTGTGACTGTGTGTGAGCAAAGAAAGAGTATTAGTTTTATGGTAATTTATGGTGGACGTGCACAGTATCAATCTGATGAAAGAAATTGAAAGGCCGACCCCATGCATTGTGGACTTATCTCAAATCAAGAACTTCAAAAGTGGGAGTGAAAGATAGAGAATCTCTGGTGGGACTCATAGCTAGCTATACCAACATCAATTCTTCCCATTGGCTCTTGCTTTGGCTTTGCGTCCCTCTCTCTCTCTCTCTCTCTCTCTCTCTCCTGTATGTAATTGTACTATCCTGAGTTGTAGTTAGTTGTGTGTGGAAGCAGTCTTAGTGTTTTGTGGCCCAAAAATCAACAAAGCAGTTGTAGAAATGGCTGTGACTTGAGAGTAGTAGTATTATGTCACATCCTTTCTTTTTCTTTCTTAAATTTATCCCAACACTGCCTTTTTCCTCATACTCTCTGACCTCCCACCACTGTCTCCCCAACCCCACCACTCTCCTCTAATCTTTGCTTTCCCATAATTAAACATCAACCCTACTTTTCCTTTTTCTATCTTCAATTCTTTTTAGTAAACTGTTTGTTTGTTCTGAGCCTCATGATCTCACCCACCATTTGTTTTGTCAAAAAGTTAGCAACCCACACACCTCTTCTGTCTTCAGATGCTCAATATGACAAGCAACATTGAGTTAGCAGATGTCTGCTAATTTCAAACATTGTGAAATGGACACCCAAGAGCTACCCAATTGTTCTTGATCTTCATGTTCCTGGTACTTTTGCTCTGCCCATCTTTCTTTTTTTGCATCTTCTTGTTTTATGTGTATCTCATTTTCTTTGGCTTTGTGGTTTTATCTGGTTTTGGTTTTTACATCTTATTGGATTCAGGGTTTCATCTATATTGGCCACTTTTTGTGTTCTGATAAATTGTCCTACATCCCTTTATCCACCAAGTTTTCAGATAGTATCAGAATTTTGGTTGGTCTAAAGAACAATTTTGCAGAAAATTGCAGGAATTTCTACAGGTCTTTGATAAAGGTCTCTCTAATCTCACTGTCTTCTGCAATCTCTTTTCTCTAGTCAGATACCAATTCATTGCAGATGTAGTGCTCATAGATTAAACTTCAAAACCTATTTCCCTTTTGTAAAGTTGGTGAAAGTTGTCATGTAAAACAGTCACCTATAACAATATTTTGGCTAATTTGAGTCCATGCTTGGATGTTTTCTTAACGATTTGCGTATGCGTTGTAATTAATTTAGATTTGATCATACAACCAAGTCCTTTTCTTAGAATTGCATCTTTCTCTTATCTCTTAACTGGAATTTGTTTATGTTTGACTGAAAGTTGCACATGTTTTTTAGGGTGATTAAATTATATATTTGAAATTCATAAATTATAAATTTCAAAAGGGAAATCATAACGTTACCATATGTTTTCATATGTGAGAGCTTAAAATTTTGATTGGCCTATGTCTTGTCTCTGTTGGATACATTACCTTCTTTCTAACTCTAGCCTGCTTTTAAGAATCTATTGAACCCTCTGACATTTGAAGATGCTGGCCTTTTCTATTGTATTTTCGGAATAAAAAACCAGATTGCTGGCCTCTTTGTTTGTAATTCTGTGTCTTTCTCTGATCCTCATCTGGGGGAATGTTTTCTTTAAGAGATGAGACTCATAATTTAAATGAGTTCTTAGAAAGCGAAAGTGTCCCCAACTGGTCTCACTTATATATGCTTGTATATTAGCAGCAAATGCTGTACAGATACAGAACAAAATATGGCACATTACCACACCACACCGCTACTTTGCAGAGGAGAACATTTGCTCTCCAGATTTTATATGTTTCCTCTCTCTCTGCTCCGGAGATTAGTTGCTTACCTTTCGTACTAATGTTTCCTTAAAATTGTACACATACTTCTACTTTCAAAGTTTTAATTGCAATCATGAAATAAAATAAAATAGTAGTGGTGATGGATCAAGAAATTTATACTGCAATTGTCATGTTCTATCTTTCTTTCCATTCTAGTGAAAGAGAGTGAACATTACATCTAACATTAACAATTCTTTGTTTCTAAAAGTGCAGGATAAGATCAACTAGTCTTTGCTGAACTGGCTCAATCCGGTTATTTCAAGCCTGATATGTAAACTATCCCCGAACCTAGAAAGTGTCAGCTAAATCATGAACACATACTTTGACCTTGAAGTGGAAGCCTCCTCAGCAAATGACTCTGATGTTAGCAGCCAAGTTGCTTCTAACATCTCCATCCAAGAAACATCTGCTAATACCTCCAATGACAGTGCCGCCAACTCCACAAATCCTGTTGCAGCACAACAAGCGTTGGAGCCTATTTCCCTTGACTTAACTCTTAGCTTCAGTAATGAGGACTTGGTGGGAAGGGATTCTGTAGGACTCTCATTGTCAAGCACAAGTGAGAGCAGCAATGAACCTGCATCTCAAAACACAACAGCAGCCACTCCAAGACTTTTCTCTTGCAATTACTGTCAATGCAAGTTCTTGAGCTCACAGGCTCTTGGTGGTCACCAGAATGCGCATAAGAAAGAAAGAACGCTGGCAAAGCGCGCTATGCGAATGAGTATGTTCTCTGAGAGATACACGAGCATAGCGTCGTTGCCTCTGCATGGATCTTCATTCAGGTCTCTAGGAATAGAAGCACACTCATCAGTGCATCAAGGGTTTGCACCACCAGTGAGGCCTGCTGAGATTGGAAGCAGTGCAAGATTTGAACAGGGGTATTTGGGGGTACCCATTTTCTTGGTGGATGATGGGGCTGAGCTGTTATGGCCTGGTAGTTTCCGTCGGGCTGCTGAGACAAGTAACACTCATCCAAGTTTTGTACTGACTCATGAAAGTTCAAATTCAAATTTTGTAGAGGTCACACCGCCCGTGGACGTAGAGACCATGTCTACACCAGATCTCACACTGAAACTTTGAAAGGTTTGGTTTTGCAGGACACATAGCACAACTCTGGGATTTATGTTTATTGTTCTCTAAATTTGTACAGAGAGATACACATGAGCTACATGGCTGCAAGTTTTTATTCTTTCAATTTCTTCTTGTTTGCAGCGCTTTGGTGTTTTACCTTTTCAGTGTATAAGAGCTCTATGAGGATCATTTGTGAGCTCCTTTGCTTATTGTGATATAAATTTTCCTAGTTTGGTCCATTTTCTTTCTCCTTTCTTGCCCCCTTACACAACGGTGGAGCATACCCTCCAATTTCTTTAGAATTACAGTCACTTGTAGACAACTTCTTACTTGATTATTGGTTGCAAACTCAATGCAACCCGCTCCATGGTGCGCATATAATAATGTCCAATGCTGGTTTGTCTTAGTCCCCAACTTCTGCAATGAAAAGGCCAGTGTTTAATATGAGAGTTCACTTGCCAAAAGAAAATGTGATAGCTCTGTTCTTTTCAAATCTTTGGTATTTATTTGTTCAAGTCTATGCCATGTTGAAGGGCCGGAAGTCAAATTGTTTGTAGGAAGGCCAAATTTTTGTTTACATGGTTGAAATATGCTATGCATTGGGAAAGATATTTCGAACGTACAAGATCCAACCACGCGGAAAATGTAAAAAAGTTGCAAGCTTGTTGTTGACCGCTAAATCTTTTCGGCCAACTACGTGGATTATTTCGAATAAAATAACCAACGGGGCGAGCGGATTTGGGAACACTGTCCTTCTTGGTGTAAATGTTTGCGCGGAGTGCCGGCTCTCACGGTCTTTGATGGCTGTGAAAACAGAGATGACGATGATGATGAGTGCGTTTTTTTATTTATAGAAAATGATAAGTGCCTTGATCTTGATCTTTAATCAAACGATCTGGGCCGAGTTAGGAACGTTTCGGCCGTTGAGTTCTTAGCCTTGGTAACAAGGCTACTGTGCTGATGATGTCTTTTGTGTTTGGAAAGAAATGTCATGCTTTGGTTTAGTCTATTTGATGCCTAGAACTGAAACCGCCAACATGTTAATCTTTTGCTCTAAAATATGTTGGGGAAATAATCACGAAACTGAAGAATATGATAGAAATATAAAGTATGGCAGAGAGTGTTTGTAAAACAGAGAATTAGACATTTTTTATTAACTTCTTCAATACAACAGCAGCCTATAACATTGACTATTTATAATAACATTTACAAGTTTACATAATAAGACACAACTCTTGAATTAATTCCAATAGATACATATACAACTTTTTATATCTAAAAAGTCAAGAGACACAATTCTTCATAAGAAACCTGTAGAAAAAAAATATACAACTAATAATTTTATTTTCTAAATTTAAAATGTAGACGATGCATTACTTTTAACAAAATAAATACCTGAATTTCAGTGTCAATCTCCTCAACCAACAAACAAGAGTTACTACTTTGAAGAAGGGTGGCTCAGAGGAGAATCTGACGACCAAGCCCATTCATCAACATGCTTATTATCCAGACTCTCTATTATGCTTTTCGCTCTTTTAGGGATATCCGCGGGAATCGGGAGATTTTGGACATTTTCCTATGTTCATCTTTGGAAAGTAGAGGAACCCACATATAACCTACGAAAACGCAATAGCAACCAAGCACACAAGCAGTAGTGGCAAGTGCTAAGGAATGCCCTAATACTGCACATGTGCCGGTGATGAATGCAACTACCATTAAAACCAAGGCACTCACCATAGAAGATAAGCCCCACACAATTCTGCCAGGCATCTCTTCGTATTTTGTGAGGAATTGTAAAAGAACGTGAGTCAACACACAGAACCACTGGACATACACATAACTAGTGTATTTGTAATAACAAATGCTACAAATGCTATGAAAGCTGCATTTCTTGTTATAACTGCAAAACCCTGGTCTGGTCCTTTTTCACTTTGGTAACCATCGGGCATGGTGAAACCTGCTGCAGAGGTTACAGTTGCTATCAATGTAGCCACTACTAGATAGGTTTGTCTTCCTTCCTCTGCTGCATCATTGTCTTTGCCACCTTTATTTTCCCCAAATTCATTACCGTCTTCATCTGGACTGATTTCCCTGCCATTATCATCATTACCACAATAAATTGAATGATGATTAAGGCCTGATCCAGCGGCACCTTTCATTTCCGAAATGCCACCTTTGTCTTCCTCAACTTCCTCCATAGTGTCTCCATATAGTTTGGAAATTCTGCCGATACTATCTTCATGGCTTACAATTAAATATGGGCCTCCTGGTCTTACTCCATTCCACTCCAAAATGCGGTTAACAGTGTTCTGCAAGGCAAACAAGTGTTATGATGAAAGGTGAGTGGTAAGTATTACATTTGTCTTTAGATTACAAAAAAACCTTGTCAGAAATACTTTAAAGGTCAACAACTGTACCTTTAGTGTTGGTAAGAGAGTCTTATCAGCTAGAATGTTGTCTAGATCATCTAGGTTTTTCTTGTTGAATGTCATCTGATCAATTCTATTATTACCGATGAAATTATCAACCACAGAAAGCAGATGGAGGGGTGTGTTCCCGTCAGCATCATTTCCATTAAAAGGACATGGCTAAGCCATGGATCTTTCAAAACAAGATCCTTTATTAGACCTTTAGGCCACTCAATGGCATAGTGAAGGGCATTACAACCTTTGTGATCAACCAATTCGCAGCAATCGGGGCAATGAGAAATGATCTTTCTCATTACTTGTTCGTGCCCTTGAAGGGTTGCAACATGAAGGGATGTCTTCTTGTACACTTTGTCACCAACATAAGCAGCTGACTTATTAGATTCTATTAGTTGTTTCACAATTGAAGTGTGACCGAAGAGTGCAGCAAAGTGAAGAGGCGTCCATCCTCGTTCATCTATTGCTTTCGTGAGAGCCATTTTATTGTACTTTAGTATCTCTCTCGTTATTTCTAAAGCAAAAAAAAATAAATAAATAAAAACAAGTAAGGGGCTAATCAATATATAACTAATAAGTAACTAATGGGTGCTAATTATGTACATAAATTCATCATTGCAGACCACTGTAGCGTGCAAAGCTGTTCTACCATTACGGCCTCCATAAGTTGGATATTTGCAAGTCTCCAAATCACGGTATCCCCTCTCAGCAGCCAAGTAAAGTGGTGTGTTGCCACTATCATTAGCATAGTAGGAAAATTCAGTATCTTCTTTGGTCAATATCTCCACCACATTTAGGTGATTAAAGCGTGTTGCCTCGTGCAAGGCTGTGTCCTTGCCCTTCTTGGTTGTCTTGATTAAACACCGCCAGGCTTCTTTGACCACTTGGCCAAGGTCTCCATGACAAGCTTTTGTAGCCTTGACAAGAACTGCAACTATATCAGAGCAACCGTGTCTCGCAGCAATGTGCAAAGCAATCTCACCACTTACATTGGACTGCCATAGTAGTGCTGGGCACATTTCCAATATCTTCTCCACAATGTTGCTTGGCTTGTGTGCTACTTGTTCAGACTCAATCAACGATAGGTTGCCGCCGCATGCGATATAAATATGGAGGACTGTGTTCTTGGTTGAAGTCAGTATTTGGTGAATATGCTCTTTGTGTCGCTGAAGGACATCAATATTGCCTTCTTTTGTGGCTTTGTATACATCAAGATCCATGCCACTTATTAAACATGCTTCCTGGTTGGTCTCATCTACTTGCCTCACCTATGCTAACTGACTAGTGCTCTTAGTTTGATTAGTCGAATTCGAGGCATCCGTCATTTTGACTTTTTTCTGTTGCGTTGCTCTTGCAGTCTTTGAATGGATGAAGGGAAATCGCTCATGAGAGTGAAGGGTAGGGCGAAGAGGGTAAAATTATATAGAGCAACACCACTAGCATTTTCCAAATAGATGGTTGTTGACCAATTTGGTGGAGGTTCTCTCTGGTCTTATTTTATTCAATTCTAGTTTTGTTCGGAGTTTTTATCAAAAATAGCAAAAATTTGACTCCTACTTTCATAAATATTAGTTTTGATAAAAACGTTCAGATATAGCAAAAAAGCCACTTAAAAAATACACAATTAAAAGCCATAAACCTAAAAAGTTCTCAGTAAGATCGATTGCTTGCATCTCAACAGGTGTAGGGGTCTTTTTGTTCCAGCAGCCTGACGAATGGGCTTGGGCTGTCGAAAAAGAGAAACAAGTAGAGCTACCCTTTGTATTTGAGTTCAAGAACCAGGCTCTAAGAATGTTTTGAAAAGTTCGTGAAAACCTTAGAAAACACCTTGGGCATCTTTCACCAATAAGCCAAATGCACGTGGAAAATTATTAATATGACTTGCTTGAGGAGCTTGTGGCATGGGAGCAAAACCATCATGAGTTTAGCATAAACAGAGAGAGAGCTGTGAGTTCTTATGAAAGACAAAGGTTCTAAGGAAAGGGGGAATGGATTCTAAGAGGGTTTGTTGAAAAGGGAGAAAGATGGGGGTATAATGAGTGTGTTGAGTAGTTTCCAGTAGCTTGACGAAAAGTCTGTCAAGCTCTGGAATGTTTTTAATAGAAGAGAAAAAGCGAGGAGATGGAGGAATAGAGCTCGAAATTGCTGGGTTTTGGAAGCAAGAGAGGAAGCTTGCTCTCTGGATGTGGATTGAGTGAATTTCCAGTTGCTTGACAAAACTTGGTCGCACTCTGGATGATGGATTTTCTTGGGTAGAGGAAACTCCCTTTTATAGGCTCTTAGAACCTTATTCTATCGATCCTCCATTCCCACTATTCCTTTGCTTCTTTCGATTCACTCATTTTTGGTGAAATTTCTTTAACCAGAGTGCATGGGTCACAAGCTCTTGGGGTTCCAAGGATTTTGTGTGGCTGGACCTCCCTCATGGGGGTGAGGCGCCACCTGTTTTCTTCCTTGGTTTTCAAATTAGAGCTCACAAAGGAAAAAGAGAATGGATATAGTCGTTTGTCCAATGGGTATTCCTCCTACACATATGGATTCCCTTTGGTTTTTCTGATGGCTTGCATTGGGTTTGTCTTTGGCTATGTGTTGGAGTCTCCCAGCAACTTGAGCGTACAAACATCTCCTAGTTTTCTATCGTGGTTTCATTTCAAACCATGTGCTAGAGATTTTTTTGGATATTTTCTAAGCCACTTGGGCTGTTTGGGCCTTCCTAAGGTGATGAGTTAGCCCATTAAGAGAATGGGCTAACTTCCTAGAGTTATGGGCTATCTTATTAAGGTGATGGGCCAATTTTTCTAGAGTGTTGGGCTAATTCTTCTCTCTTTTATGCTTACCCACATATTTGGGCTCAAGAAATGGGCTTGAGTTTTAGCGCTCCCAAGTAGCCCAAAACTTCCATTTATTGGCTCATCAATGGGCCTCATGAAAGCACGTTACCATCCATACCACAACCCACTCAAGTAAGCCCCGGGCATTTGCGTGGCTTAGGCCCACTTAAGCTTGTAGCGTGGCTAGGTGTAATAATAATGATTTTCCACTTGGCATTGCATGTCGGTTGGCTTGCTTGAATTTTGTCACTTTGAAGAGGGATATGACGCATGACGGGATAATTAGCTTAGGCTCGTAAAGCCAATGCTTATTTCAACTCTTAGCATGACAGATTGCATATTTATTTGGCATGGCACGTGGGTCATGACTCGTGCAAGCGTGAATGACGAATTTTCGTGTGCTCGAAATTGGGTCTTTTCTTAATAAGGTATTGCGTTGGGCCGAGAATTTAGTTGGGCCCAACTCTGGATTTTTGGGCCTCAATAACAGGAAACTCCTTCTCACCTTCTTCGACAAGCTTCTCTAATCTTTTCACTGTAATGAGTTTTTTTTTCCCTAATGTTCGAAACAGCAGCCTCGCAATTGCAATCTTCCAAACAAGACCTTTATATCCACAAAAATAAGCCAAAAACCTGCTTGATCAACCATAAGCAATTTATATGTAAGAAAAATGTATTTTTATTTTTTTTATAAATAACAAAGTGAATCAAAGCAACCTTATCTTTAGATGTGTATGTATCCATTAATTTCACCTAAAAACTCCTCATCTTCCTTTCAAACCTCACCTTCATTTCAAACCTCATATTTCTTTCAAACCTTATCTTCATTTCAAACCCAATGTTCCTTTCAAACCTCATCCTCTTCCCTATTTAAGAGGGAATTAGTCTGCCCAACCAAACACACAATCTCCTTCAATCTCATTCTTCTTCTTACAATGAATTCACATGGGAAGGATATACAAAATTTCTTTGATGGTGATTTTGATGATGACCTTCATCAGAAGCTGCAATTGCAGCCACACAAACATGGTAAAGTTGAAATGTTTTGTCACATGGGCATGGGCTCCATATGCACATAGGTTGACATAATTGCTAGGCATGTGCTCCACATGTTGCTGTTGGGCTCCACAAAATTTCGATCCAGTCAATAAAACGGGTGGAATAGCGCTTGGGCTTTTGCCTAGACTACATTTTTAGCATGTTAGTATGCAAGGTTAGAGAAGCTTTTCAGGCAAAAAACCCAAATTTTGGGTTTAGCCCACTCCCATTGGAGATGGCCTTATGGTAGCAATTTGGTAGATGTTCTATTCGGTCTTATTTTATTCAATTCCAGTTTTGCAGCATGTGGAGGTGTACTTTATTTATAGTTCATAGATCTCCGAAAGATGCAATCAGACAAGTACCAAAGTCATTTAACAAACATAATTTATTGCAGCAAATGGGTGTAGCTCAGTTGGTTGAGTTCTTCTACCTCCATTCATGTGGATAGATATTTGAAACTCCCTCACCCAATGAATATTTGTGTAAAATTCCCTCCCTTGATGCTAAGATCCTACAGCCTACTGCCCAAATCTTGAGTGAGATGTCAACCTACTGCGGAAAATCCCCTCCATCACGAGTTTCGAGTTGCCCTCTATTTATGCCTTCTTTTCAAGTTCCAATGTTTCTACTTTATGACTAGCTTAAGTTCCAAGATGGTGCACGTGAAATCCTTGTCTTAGTCAGTGCTCTTGATTTTACTTGAGCAACACCCTTTGGGCTAAGGAACAAATGCAACTTTTGATTTTGGTGAAGTTTTTCTCCATGCTTAGTGGTTTGTGTCACATCCTGGGATCGGCTCCGCCATAGCACGATATTGTCCGCTTTGGGCCCCCCTTTCTGCCCTAACGGTTTTGTTTCTGAGAACTCACAATCAACTTCTCAGTGGGTCACCCATCCTGGGATTGCTCTAGCCCCAACTTGCTTAACTTCGAAGTTTCCCTGACTCCGAAGTCAATGAGATTCCAAAAGGCCTCGTGCTAGATGGAGGTGGGCATGTACATATAAGACACATCACCCTCTCTCCGTTGGTCGGTGTGGGATGTTACAATTTGGGTTGCGCCTAAGAATTGGGTCGTCCCCTTATGCTTTTGCTGAGATTTCAAACCATGATCTTTGGGCTTTGTAGGCCTTAATCAATTACTTCGCATTTTGGCCATAGTGTTAGGCATGTTATGATATTTGGGCCAACCCTTGTTCACTTGGCCCGAGTATGTTGTGCCATGATCGTGGGCTTGTTAGGTCTGACCCCTCGTTTTTGCTTTAGGCCTTGATATTTTCGTCTCTAGGCCTAAAGTTTGGCCCCAACAGCCCCACTACATCACTTTTCCTTTGTGGAGCCAAAGGGGAAAAAATTAGATATAAACACTTGCATTTGAATTTGCATCACAATTGAATTAGACTAGTTATCCAATGTAGTGAATATGTATTGTCCTCGTCATTTATGTGAGTTGAACTTGAGACCTCCTCAAACCAAGTAAAGAAAAGGGATATTTGTTGAAATGTTACCTGAACTTATACCTTAGTTTCAATTTGTCACATGAAAAAATAATTTAAGTGAAATGTCACCTGAAATTTTCAAAATCCATGATTTGTCACCTGAGTTTAACATCATCTGATTTTCAATCTATTTTCAAGGGTATTTTAGTCTTTTCATTTTCAAGGATATTTTTAAAATGGAAAAAATTATTATTAAAAAAAATAAAGCTTAAATGTAAAAATGGATGGGGATTAAATGTGAAAAGATATATAATTTTTATAATTTTCAAGGGTCTTTTCATAATTTTTTTATAATGATTTTCCATTTTAAAAATATTCTTGAAAATAAAAAGACTAAAATACCCTTGAAAATAGTTGGAAAATTGGATGATGTTAAAGTGAGGTGACAAATCATGGATTTTGAAAAATTCAGGTGACATTTCACTTAAAATTTTTTTTCAGGTGACAAATTGAAACTAAGGTATAAGTTCAGGTGACATTTCAATGAATATCCCTAAAGAAAAATAACACTAGACCAAAAACTAGTTGCTTACTTCATACCCTTTTTAATTTTAACTAATACTAATGTTTCAATGTTTAATATTATTGATAAATTTTCTTCTTTGGGCCAATAATTATATTTCGAGTCGGGAGCGGCCTGCTGGGCCCGCTAAGGAACTTGGCAAGCCGAAGTGAACGTTGCCAAAGAGGCCCAAAAATTAATACCCGGAGTATCCCTTTCTTATACATATTAATATTATCAGCACTTGACGAGGGCATAATGGTAAATATAGGACCCAGATGCCTAATCCGTACGAACACAAAACCATTACGCGCCTTATTTAGACAAAAAGCAATGTTCTTGTTTCCTTCCTTTTGTATGAAAAGTTACGTCTCTTTGATTTCTATATATTATTTTAATTCTCTCTTCGTTTCCAAAAAAAACAAAAAAAACCACATTAGATTGTGACTTCTTGTGAGAGACACGACTGAAAACAACAACCCAGGTCATCCCTCCTGTCTTTTGCTTCTATTCTTTTTTTCAAACTATTTTTTCATGGCTGTTTTGAAATAATCTTTTATCTTCAAATCCTTATTACTTTGCTTGATTACATGATTTTGCAGATTAATTACATGTCCCTTTCACCTTCATCTTCTCCTTGTCCCTTTCTGATGTTTTTTTTATCCCTTCTTCTCTCTAACTTTTGCATCACAAACGGCTAAAGTCACATTTCAACCTTTTCCATTTCCGTTTCTTGAACTCCAAGTCTTTAAGATATTATAATTATATATCTGTGTACATGTATATGCAAGGCCCTCCAAGCATAAAGCCATAAACTTTTGAATTTTGCAGTGCAGGTTTGTACAAAGTTTCAGATAAGAAATCTGAAATGGATCATCTTCGTTTTCTTCTGGCTCTGCTAATTATAACATCGGCTTCATCCAACTGTCACTCGTGGGGTTGGTTCTCTTCAGAAGAGACCTCCTCTAATGAGAACCCTTCTCGTTCGGTTGGTAAATTCTCCATGGAAGGTGTTAATGACCAGAAGGGGGTCAGGCTAGTTGAAAATGCTAAGGCGAAATTGGTTGGTTCAGACTCTTGTTGGCAAAATGCTTATCGGCATCTCTTTTCTGGGTGCTCGGAGATTTTCGCTGTCGAAGAGAAGCGGTCGAGATTTGCTTGGCATCTTAGTGATTGTTTTCAGAAGGACTCCGGCAGGCCTCCTTTTCCTTCATGTGACCCAAAATCTGTCATGTATAAATGCCTGAAAAGTTTGAATGACTATGAGCATAAGGTCTATCTGGAATTCTACCTTGAGACCAATTCAATCTGCCATCAGTTACAGTTGAGTATACTAATATCTTCCATGTAAGTTGAATGAATTTTTCCTGAGAAACTAACAAGAACTTTGTTTTTTGGTCGTTTTCAGGGCTCGAGTATTTAAGCATGAAACAGAGAGACTGGTGAATGAACTTAAAAATTCAGCCCAATATGCAGAAGGCAAGTTGGAAAAAATTGAAGAGAAGGCAGAGTATCTACTGCAGGGCTCAAATCAGATATACGAGTCTTTGAATTCGATTGATGTTCGAACACAGCAAGTTGCTCAAACTGCAAAAAATGTGGAAGATCATGTAGACGTCGTGTTGAAGCATTCGGCAGCAGTTTATGAGCAATCCAGGAAAATCCAAGCTTCTCAATCAGAGCTGCAAGAAGGACAAGTAGAAATGAAGAGAAACTTGAAAGATGGGATGGCAATGCTTCAAGATTCATACAGCCATTTGGGTCAAGAAATTGATAACTTAAGAAATGAGGCAGTTGAAATTGAAAAGGAGATAACTAAAGTTGGAGACCAAATGTCATCTAGGATGGAGAATCTGCAAAGCAAAGCAGATGATATTGGGAATATAGCTGGGGTCTCTTTGGATAAGCAACATCAGCTTCTCGATGGACAGACGACTGCTCTCAAGGATCTTCAGTTTTTAACAAAATTTCAATCTGAAGCATTAGAAGAGAGCAGGTAAAAACAGAAAATAAGAACAATATGAAGTCTGAAAATTTGTAGAGTTTCTCTAACTCATTTTTAAAATCGCAGGAGTACACTTCATCGGTTAGCTGAATATGGCCATAGACAACAAGAAGAGCTTCTTCAAAAGCAACAACAGCTTCAACAAGTTCATGATCACTTGATGGAAAATTCAAAGTCAATCTTGGCAGCTCAGGTGTTTTTTAGCTTTAGATTTCTTATTTAACGAGGTTTCTTTGACTGGTTTTCTCAGTTTTTTTAATTTATTCTCAGTTTTTTTCTGCTCACAGGAATCTTTTGAATCAAAGCAAGCCAGCATGTTCATTGCATTAGACAAGCTATTCACTTTGCACAATGCTATGTTGCTTGAATCGCGCTTAATCAAAGCTTTCTTTATTTACTTTATATCGATGTTTGTTATCTACATGTTCACAAGCACAAAGCAAACATACACAGTTAGACCTTGGCTTTATATTGGTAAGTACTTTATCTTATTATGAAAAGGAAAAAAATTCAGAAACTTACATTGGTTCATTAACTTATATTTACTGTTGTATATCTAATTTCATTGACAGGGCTGTGTGCCACATTCTTGATAGAAGTAGTGACAATTCGGTTCACCCCAATCGACATTCAACAGCAAACATGGAAAATAAACCTTTTCCGATCAACCTTTGCTGTAATTGCTTTAGTTAAGCTAATACATGCAATTTTCACATACAGGTACTATATATGATGAAAATTTTGAAACTTGAGCTGAAAGGCGCATTCAATATCTAAAAGGGTGCCATTCAAACTATGCAGGGACTATGAAGTGTTGAACAATCAGTTGTTACATACATTGATTGAGAAGGTTAATGGCATGCAAAGATACCAGAAGTTGTCATGGGAGGAAGATAGTGAATTTAACTGGTCCTCTTGGATTGACACCAACTTACAAGAAGACGTAGACAGTTCTGAAGACCCTGACTACTTAGTTCCTGAAGAAGTTGGGGAAAATTTTATCACGGCTTCAACTATAAAAGAATATGATCTCCGCCAGCGTCTTCTTCGTTGAAAACTTTCTTAGTCTTGTACATATGAACTCATAATTTTTATGTTCTTTCTCAGGGTTCCCTTTTCATTAAGTAGTATTTTAATAGAAATTCACATCAAGATTACTTGTCACAATCAGTGAGATCTATACGGTGTTTTAAGACTTATCTGCACTAATCAACCATCTGTTTGCACAAACCCATATGCCATATGGCTAGAATATAACATAATCTTATTTTAATGGGTCCTCAAAAGAGGAGGAATCAAATTTGACAAAAATGTAAAGAAGAATCATGAAAAAAATAAGAAAGAATGGTAGAACCTTAGCAGAAAAGTAAGAAAGAATGGTGTTATCACCAGTGGTCCTTACAAGAGCATGCTCCTCCTTTGAAATGGTGGAAGCGATTTGTGTCCCTTAAAACAATCAATCTCCCTGTAATCACTGAAACTATTTTCACCCAGGAGTGGCAATCTGCACAAATGCGTATGTTCTTTGTAATCCTAATTGGCATTCCAGCAGCAGTGTGGACAAGTGCAAAAGTAACTGCGACTCTTTCACTATGCCCACAAACCCACATTGCTTTAGTTTCTTCATTTACATCATGTAGCACAACACTAGTGTCAAGGATATATCCAACATCTTTCATAGCATCCGTCAATTCATTCCAGACCTTCTTGAACTCAGCTGAATTACGAAATTCAAAACCCCCGCCTGCTAGAAATGTGTGAATTCTATTCCTTATCTGTACCCAACTGCATCCAGCATCTTTTTTAATTCCCCTATGCTTCATCAGTTCTCTAACCCTATTCACATCATTCCACATTCCTGCATTTGCATAAACGTTTGAGAGCATTACATAGTTCCCAGGATTGGTTGGTTCAAGTTCAAACAACTCCTTTGCAGCAAACTCTGCAAGAGAAACATTGCCTTGGAGGCGGCATGAGTTAAGTAATGATCCCCATATGCTGCCAGTCGGCTTCATAGGCATTCTTTCCACTACATCTAAGGCTTCCTTAATTCTACCAGCTCTGCCCAAGAGATCCACCAAGCAAGCATAATGCTCAACTGTTGGTGAAACACCATAAACTAACTTCATTTTATTAAACAATCTTCGTCCTTCATCAGTAAGCCCCGCATGGCTACAGCCAGACAACAAAGCTATAAATGTTACTCCATCTGGTCGGACACCAGACTCTACCATCTGATCAAACAATTTCATTCCTTCTTCTATCAATCCATTGTTTGCATACCCTGTCAGCAGAGTATTCCATGATGTCAAGTCTTTACTTTGCATTCTCTCAAACACCCTCTTACAATAATCAATTTCTCCAGATTTTGCATACATGTCGATAAGTGAGTTTAATACAGGGACATCAGGTCTCTTGGTGGACTTCACAATCTGGGCATGTATCTCCTTCCCACAATGAAGTGCAGTCAGTCTACCGCAGACTGGTAAAATTGTCGTAAGGGTAACCCAACTGAATCTCATCCCCTCTCCTTGCATCCTTCTAAAAGAATGCAATGACTCAAACACTTGGTCTCGTCGAGCAAAACTCGCAATCAAAGAGTTCCAGGAAACAACATTTCTCTCAGGCATTGTATCGAACACCCTGAAGACCTCAATAGAACACCCGTTCTCCGCATACAACCTCAAAAGAGCATTGTTCACCACTTGATCAGGCTCTTCAATTGATTCACAATCTGGGCATGGACTGCTCTACCAACTCTCAACTCAGGCAATTCTGCACACGCCTTCAACGCCATCGAAAAAGCGAAATTACCCGGCTGGACAAACCGGATCAGCATGTCACAATACACAAGCAAAGCTTCAACCAAGTACCCATTTCTCAAGTACCCAATAGCCATTGCCACCCACACTGACTCGGGAACCTGTTCATCTTCCAACCCATCCTCGAAAACAGAGCGAGCCTCATCCATTCGGCCGCAAACAGAGTAAAGCGTGATGAGCTTGCTTTTCAAAGTTGGGTTGTGGAGAAGGCTGTGGTTGTTACCTCTGTCCTTGGAGAGAAGAAGTTGAAGATAAAGCCTTCGGCCATGCTCCAATGATTTTCTGGAGATACAGGTGTGGAGGAGGAGAGAGTAGGCTTCTACATCGAGCTCGGTGAATGTTAATCTGGACGGTGAGGATTCGATCAGGCGAAGGGCCTCGTCTAATTTGCCGGATTTGGCAAGCCATTTGAGGGTTGAAGTTAGAGGTTTGCTGTGTTTTTGAGTACCGTTGGGGCCTGAAGTTACAGTTATGTTAGTTGAACCGGCGGGTATGTTCGTTGAGAGAGAAATCGCGGCAATCATTTTCCCCCCTTTGTTCGGATTTTAATTTCCTTGCTCTCACAAGTCTTGTATAACTTGTATGTGGATATAGAGGAAACTTTCAACAATTATTAGATTCAAAATTCAGAATCTCTCCCCTAGCTAGAAGAAAACTCAGAACTTGCACCACTATTTTGTTACGTGCACCTAATGGAGAAATTATTGTGTCACACTAGAATATCGACACGTTGTGTAATTATTACAAATGTCATAACCTTGGGCAGGAGATTGATTTATATATTAGTTATAGTATCAAATATTGAAGGAGTGTCTCATTGGGCAGTGTCTTAAGATACAAAGTATTTGTCACACAACATACAGTGTGCACAGACAGTTCCATGCTAAATGTAGATGCCTACTAGGAAAGCATATGAGCTAAAATCCAACAAAAGAAATTACAACTTAACAGGTTTACAACCAAGATCAATGGATTTCTTCACTGCATCCAATATTACCTGCGTATTTCGACTAATCTCGGGCCATTTACTGTCTGGACGGTGTCCAAATTTCATAATGCCCTTAACAAGCCTTGCAAACTCTTCAACCATCAAGGCCTCTTGCGGCAGCTCAGAAATCACTCTAACTTCTTCAGGCCTTACATTCCGCCCAATATGGAGTTCCGAGAACGTCGCACCGGATGTGAAGTCAAACGAAGCAGATTTCTCTTGGTACGGAATAATGTAGTCGTAGCAGTGCAGCGAACCATTGCAGCCCGATATAGCCAAGTCCATGGATGTGTGGGAAAGAAAAGAGCAGTGAATCGTTGCAACCGTTTCGTCTAATGGTTCCCAATGAAATGATGCAGTGCAAGACAAGATGACCCCTGCAGAGTTTTGGTGACATCAGGCAGAGCATTCACTAGAGTTGGTAATTTGTAGTCCTTTGCCCACAAGATGGCCCCAATGCAGTACCAGCCTAGGTCCCCAAGCGCACCGAGAGCATCCAAGTCCGGTTTCACTCTTATGTTGCTCTCCCGAAATTCCTGGGTTGCTGGCTTTGTCGATGTGCTACGGATCTAAAATTCATACACAACAAAAAATAAAAGACTCGTAACGATAATCACCTGAAAATAATTCATTTGACCAAAATGCTTACAATGTTAATTTGACCAAAATGGTTCGATTCAGAGATGAACTCCTTCAATTTGGCTGTCCTCGGGTGATGCAGCCACATGATCCCATCCATGAACTGTACACCGTTGGATTCACATGCTTCCAATATCTGATCGAGCTCACCCACATCAAGAGCCGTTGGTTTTTCCAGCAGCAAGTGCTTCTTCTTTTGGGCAGCTAACACTGCCCAGTGCAGATGAAGACTGGTGGGAAGGGGCATGTACACTGCATCTACACATGGGTCATCCAGCAGCTGATCATAGCTCCCGTAGGTCTTGACGGTCCCGGATAATCCGTTGTTGCCTGCGAATTTCTGGGCTTTCTCGATCGAACGGCTGGCAACGGCGTAGAGGGTGGAATTCGGTGCGAGCTTTATGGCTCGAGCCACTTTTCTAGCTATGCCGGCACATCCTATAATGCCGAAACGGACTGTTTGGTTTTCAGCCATTTTGGTTTTGGTTTTCCTTATCGTTTGTGGGCCTTTGAGCTGGAGTTAGAGGGCTGTAATTTGGTGGTTGCAGCCACCGTTTTAGGAAAAGAAAAACACTATCGTTCGTTTGTTGAAATATAAATGTGATGGCCCCACATCATGGAAGATGAAGCTTCGTGGTTAGGTGTACATGCACATCTCCATCCTCCAACACCAAAGCTCCATCTCCACACCCACATCCATGATTCATGTAAGTTCTTTTCTCCATTTTAACTTTTTCTTTCTTTGCTTTTCCTTTTTCTTCTACTCTCCTTTTTCTTGTAATTATTAATTTGCAAGATTGTTTCAAAACTTTGATCTAGGGATTTATAAATTAGGGGTTTTTCTTCTTCTTTCTTAATTGATGATGTTACCATCTAGGGATTTATTATGAGTGTTACTATCTAGAGATTTATGGGTGTCACTATACAGGGAAAGAAGTGGTCTTTTTCTCAATGCAAGTTGTGTTATTAAATTAAGTATTAGTATCTAATTTATTGGTTGTTAATGCTCGTTGTGCTTGTTGGAGTACACATTCATCTAGTCTAGACTATCACTTTTGTACTAAAAAAACCAATGTCATGTGGTAAATATGAAATATGTTATTTTATTCGTAGATCATTTAATTTATTACTTTACTCCACAATAACATATTAATTTTATGAAAAAAAAAACAGAGTTTATAATTCATGTACAGTGAGTCTCGAGTCATATGCATAATTGTTTTTTTGTGAAGGGACCTCCTGTTGTGAATTTAGGGTCCCTAGACCCCTAAATCTAATCCAAATGTGTTCTAAACGGATCGACAATATGGTTTAATCTTCGTTGTTTATTTATCTCTTCGTGAATTAATCTAAGCCCTTAATTCAAACGACATGTCCTTTTGGCCATACCAGGTATCATTTTTCACTACATTGAATCAGTCTCGTATGTTTGATCAAATCTCGTACTTAATATTGGCCATCCATTATCTGCAGTCCAAAGCCTTCAATCTAGATAGTCCAAATTATTCCAATATTAATTCTTTTTTGAAAACAATCATGGCCATCCATTTAAGCTTTTCTTTCCTATAAATATCTCAACCTCCTCCCATTTTTTCTTTTCGGTTGACTCCAAATCAATGCAAATGTTCCCATCGCTCTCTTATTTATTATAATTTTTTGTTTTGTTTAATTAGTTTTAGTCTTGCCTTTAACCCAAGGAAGGACTAAACGATAGTGTTGATTGATAGACGAGCCGCTCAGGAGTAGGCATAAGCTGGTCGACATTACTAGGTAGCCAAACGTGTTCGTGAAAATGTGCGACCTTGCAACTTGCGAACTTAGAATTTTGTTGCACATTTACTCGGCAAGTCAAGAAAGTTCTCCTATTGTATTATTGTGAACCATGTTCACTTCTGAACTTTTGATTCTCTTTTATTGACATGTTGTATCTAGTTCAGTCGGGGGGGGGTGAGTTTTGTATACTTTCTTGTTTTGTGAATTTATGTACTGCTACTCTTGAACTATTGTAACCTTGTAGGTTGATGCTTATGTAAATATTTTATTTAAAAAGTGTTTATTTGGTTTTCTGCAACGCGTTTCCACTTAACCAAAAGGGCTTGGGTAAACAAAATAGTGAAAATATTTCACACGTCAACTGTAAACCCAATTCTCAATTTGCCATCTCAATTTACAATCGTAAGTGTCACATGATGCCAAATCCGTCAAAAAATTGTTGGAAACGATCGGTTTCGTACACATACCTAATTTGTTAAGAGTATCTCAGTAATGTACTCTTTAAAACCTTTTATAATTAAAAAAACAAAACAAAACGAACCCTACCCTCCCCCCACCCAACCCTGCCATTGTTAAAGAAAAATTTATTGTGGCAACTTGGAAATCGGATGACCTAGTAAAGTTTAGGTGCAACATGTAAAAGGTTGTACTGACCAAAATAGAACAAGCCCAATGAGCCATCACAAGGGGCCCAAACTGGTGGAAATAAACAGAAAACAATGCTAGAACAGATTATCACTATTGTGGTATACACTCCTTAAATGCTGGTAAGACAATAGGGTCATGTACTTTCCTCAAATGTCAGCCTCTCTCTCTCTCTCTCTCTCTCTCTCTCTCTTTCTCTCTTAACAAGGTGTGATGTGAAAGCTCCCTCCTACACAATTGTACAGCCTATATGGCTCTAGTTTTGCCTCATTTTCACTGCCACCTACTAACTAGGTCCAAGTCCAAGTAACCACAGTAAAAAACTGAAATGTTTTACAATTTCCAAACAATTAAAAGAAAATGTAAAAACAAAACTGAAAGGAAATCACAGTCTGTAAATCCAACGAAGACACTGACACATGCATATATGAAGAAGGAAGGCATGCATTATCATATCATATGGTCATCATAGCCTCATAATATATAATGGACTTTCCTTTTTCTTCCACTTTTTCTTGTCAGGAGGAGAAAAAGCAAAAGCAGAAAGAGCTTTGAAAATTCATCTATTCTTTTGTCCACCTCTCCCTCTCTCTCCCTCTCCCTCTCTCTGAAACATGTACTTTTTTTATAATAAAAATTTATTTGTTTTTGGGTTTTTGAATTTGAACTTTTATTTATGTCAAAGGTTCATCAATCATAAAGCAATCGATTACAAAATCATTTCCTCACCTCTCACTTTCACATTGGACCATCTTTTCTGTTCTGCCCAAAAAGTCCTGTGTCCTTCTGCCGCTTCTCATTTATTACTCTCTTTTCGAGGAATGGGCCTTCTATTGTTAACCACACTCTTCCACCATCCCTTTTCCCTGCCTCATTTATTCATTCACTGGTCAACTTCAAAGCGTAGAATGTTGTTCCATCCTTCCATATCATATCATAATATTCATATAATTCTAACTCTGAATCAATTTGATCAAGCAGGAAATGCAATTCACGATTCAAATTAACATCTTCATTTTCTACTACTACAGTAGTAGATCCGATACGACTGATCTACAAGTGAAGATTCTTTTTAATTGAATTAGACACAGTTAACTGGTATTGTTTTTTGTTTTAAACATGAACTTCACATGTTTAAGATTTTCAATGTTTTATAACGATAAATATTTCTTTTTTACTTTCACTCTTGATAACTATCACAACTTTTTCAGTCATTTTCTAAGAAAAAGCAGTGCTTATTTAGCATCACAATTATTACAACTAAAGAAAATGACCTCCACTCATTTAACAAAAACTTTGCATATATTATTTTTGTAAACCCAAGGTTACAGTAGAAAGTTTTCCGGAAAACAAAGCTACTTAAAAGGGGATTTGACAACAAAAAAATTGCCTAGCAATGGAGGAGGCTTTTCCTTTTCAACTTTATCTGTTGCAGTAAAGCCGTAACTGAAAGGGAAGACCCACCTTCTTCAGTGTAGTCTTCTCCTGATACTTCCTGCCTTCCGGTATATCCCCAGAAGAATTTACTCGCATGTAGCCAAAGTAATTTTAACGGTCAAGATCATTTCATCGTGCAGTACGTATGCAAAGATTAAACAAATTTAGACAACATAAATGAAAGAAAAAAACACAAGCAAAGCCCAGTTAATATTTTTAAGTTCTTCTTAGTCTCATTTGATTTGGGCTATTGATCTGTTTCAAATTTAAGATGCAGACCCACCAACCTGCATAGGCTTTTCAGTCAAAAAATTCGAAATTCAGGTAGGGTAAATTCGATATGCAGCCATAGAAACCTCCACATACATGCATGTGGTGAGGCAAGCAAATGCAGCAGAGGAATTAAGAGACAAAATCTAGAGTGTGGAGAGCAAGTGGGTACGCATTGAAATTGACATTTTATCCTATTTTAGTTGACAAATAGAGTTCTTTTAAAAAATAATATGCATTTTATTTCTTTAAAACTACCAAAACAAATAACATAAAAAGAACAAAGAAAAAAAAAGTGTCTGCCACCACGGTTCATGGTAGAGATATTGCCACCTTATTACCCTTTAGAGTAAAAACTGACATTGCATATCTTATAGTTGACAAAGAGGGTTTTCTTAATGTATATGGTATAGACCAACTAGCCTTTGGTCTAGTGGTATTTGTTTTCAGTCGATTGAAGGATGGCTCAAGTTCGATTCATATGGATAGTGAAGACGATATATATTTAGGATGAGTTCAATACCTAATTATTATGTAACTTTGTTGTGGAAGTATTGGTCTGTTGTGTGCGTATATTGGTCAGTTATAAAAGTATCTTGTAAATATCATATCGTTTGTCAAAACTACTATTATTGTTAGGCCTAATAATATTGTGATTCTTGTTAATTTAATATATGTTTTCATAGCAAATTTGTATTTAGCAGCAAACAATCTGGGTCACTTTGTGGAAGAGGTACAAAAGGGCGCAAGTGGAAGTGAATGAAATTGAAATTGAAGGTTGGTAGGGTTTGTATGTCGGGTTATGAGAAAGTTTACAGTACATTCTTTTAATTTGGTGGTGGTCTTTCACCTTCAATACATTCGCTCGTTTTAAAGGGGAAGGCATAATAGACCCCCGCTCCTTCAGTTTCTTTCTTCGAATGCTCACATCACATAATAAAAGTGGACTTTGACATCTCTCTCTCTCTCTCTCTCTCTCTCTCTCTCTCTCTCTCTCTCTCTCAATGCTTAATCAATTATACAACTACCGTCACTATTTCAAATATATCTGCAGGTCTGCTTCTTCTCTAATTAAGGTTCATTATAGTTGTATACATATATATATATATATATGCCCCTAGAAACCCTAGACGTACCTCTTATAGAGTTATAAGCACGTTCATTTAGCTATATAAGTACTAGAAACAAAAATATTTGAGAATATAAATATATAATTGGCATTTCTGTCTTATAAATAAATAAATATTCTTATTTGTGGTCAATACAAATAGCAGCACTCTTAATACAATGGTAGAGTTTTTTTTTTTTTTTTTTTTTTTTTTTTTTTTTTTTTTTTTTTTTTTTTTTTTT